CTCTGCGAATGTTGTAGAGCATGAACCTGCAGGATCGGGTCACCGCTTTGATGTTGGCGGAGAACGACAGGGTGTTGTCCAGGGTCACGCCAAGGTTCCTTGCACTCTAGGAGGAGGACACAATGGAGTTGTCAACCGTGATGGCGAGATCATGGAGCGGGCAGTCCTTCCCCGGGAGGAAGAGCAGCTCCGTCTTGCCGAGGTTCAGCTTGAGGTGGTGATCCGACATCCACACTGATATGTCCGCCAGACATGCAGAGATGCGATTCACCACCTGGTTATCAGAAGGGGGAAAGGAGAAAATTAATTGTGTGTCATCTGCGTAGCAATGATAGGAGAGACCATGTGAGGATATCACAGAGCCAAGTGACTTGGTGTATATAGAGAATAGGAGAGGGCCTAGAACTGAGCCCTGGGGGACACCAGTGGTGAGAGCACGTGGTGCGGAGACAGATTCTCGCCACGCCACCTGGTAGGAGCGACCTGTCAGGTAGGATGCAATCCAAGAGATGCCCAACTCGGAGAGGGTGGAGAGGAGGATCTGATGGTAAATAGACAGCTACGAAAAATATAGAAGAAAACTCTCTTGGTAAATAGTGTGGTCTACAGCTTATCATGAGATACTCTACCTCAGGCGAGCAAACCTTGAGACTTCCTTAGTATTAGATTTTGTGCACCAGCTGTTGTTTACAGATATTCACAGACCTCCAACTCTTGTCTTACCGGAGTCAGCTGTTCTATCCTGCCGATGTATCGTATATCCCGCCAGCTGTATGTTATCCATGTCGTCGTTCAGCCACGTCTCGGTGAAACATAAGATATTACAGTTTTTAATGTCCCGTTGGTAGGATATCCTTGGTCTTAGGTTGTCCATTTGTTTTCAAATTATTGTACGTTGGCTAATAGGACTGATGGAAGAGGCAGATTACTCGCTCGCTGTTGGATCCTTACAAGGCACCCCAGACCTATGTCCTGATATCCAGAAGCTCTTTTTGGTCATAAGAGACGGTGGCAGAAACGTTATGTACAGAATAAATTAGAAATAACACGAAAAAACACACATAATAGCACAATTGGTTAGGGGGCCGTAAAACAGCCATCTCCTCCGGCGCCATTCTTCTGCACTTTAATATACAGTGCATTTGGAAAGTATTCAGACCCCTTGACTTTTTCCACATGTTGTTACGTTACGGCCTTATTCTTAAATTGATTAAATAGTTTTTTCCCCCTCATCAATCTACACACAGAGTCTGCCCCAGAGTCTGCAACACTTCTAAGCAAGGGGCACCACCAAGCAAGCGGCACCATGAAGACCAAGGAGCTCTCCAAACAGGTCAGGGACAAAGTTGTGGAGAAGTACAGATCAGGGTTGGGTTATAAAAAAATATCCAAAACTTTGAACATCCCACGGAGCACCATTAAATCTATTATTAAAAAATGGAAAGAATATGGCACCACAACAAACCTGCCAAGAGAGGGCCGCCCACCAAAACTCATGGACCAGGCAAGGAGGGCTTTAATCAGAGAGGCAACAAAGAGCCCAAAGATAACCCTGAAGGAGCTGCAAAGCTTCACAGCGGAGATTGGAGTATCTGTCCGTAGGACCACTTTAAGCCGTCCACTCCACAGAGCTGGGCTTTACGGAAGATTGGCCAGAAAAAAGCCATTACTTAAAGAAAAAAATAAGCAAACACGTTTGGTGTTTGCCAAAGGGCATGTGGGAGACTCCCCAAACATTTGGAAGAAGGTACTTTGGTCAGATGAGACTAAAATTGAGCTTTTTGGCCATCAACGAAAACGCTATGTCTGGCGCAAACCCAACACCTCTCATCACCCCAAGAACACCATCCCCACAGTGAAGCATGGTGGTGGCAGCATCATGCTGTGGGGATGTTTTTCATCGTCAGGGACTGGGAAACTGCTCAGAATTGAAGAAATGATGGATGGCGCTAAATACAGGGAAATTCTTGAGGGAAACACTGTTTCAGTCTTCTAGAGATTTGAGACTGGGACGGAGGTTCACCCGGTGGTGAGCGTGGTGAAACACAGGACTCACTGTCAGTCTGTTTGAGTTGGAGTCTTTACCCAACAAAGTCATGTTTGGATATATCAGTTATCCTGTTAGAGCTTCTGTCCTTAATCCACTACGGTGTTTCAGGTGCAACATTTATGGTCATGTTGCAGCAGTGTGCAGGAGGGAGATTCCAGGGCATGGGACAGTGGATTGTGTAGTTTGGGTGGATAAAGTTGTTTGTTTCAACTGTAGGGGTGCCCATGTTGCTGGGGATCGGAAGTGTCCGGTGTGAGAGAGGCAGGTTAAGGTGGCCAGAGTCAGAGTAGTGCAGAAGGTGTCATATACGGAGGCAGTGAAGAAAGTGGAAGAGAATGGGTCATCAATCTACACACTATACCCCATAATGACAAAGCGAAAACAGGTTTTTATATTTTTTTGCAAATGTATTAAAACAAAAAAACAGAAATACCTTATTTGGATAAGTATTCAGACCCTATGCTATGAGACTCGAAATTGAGCTCAGGTGCATCCTGTTTTCAATTATCATCCTTGAGATATTTCTACAACTTGATTGGAGTCCACCTGTGGTAAATGAAATTGATTGGACATGATTTGGAAAGGCACACACCTGTCTATATAAGGTCCCACAGTTGACAGTGCATGTCGGAGCAAAAACCAAGCCATGAGGTCGAAAGAATTATCCACAGAGCTCCGAGACAGGATTGTGTCGAGGCACAGATCTGGGGAAGGGTACCAAAACATTTCTGCAGCATTGAAGGTCCCCAAGAACACCGTGGCCTCCATCATTCTTAAATTGAAGAAGTTTGGAACCACCAAGACTCTTCCTAGAGCTGGCCGCCCGGCCAAACTGAGCAATCGGGGGAGAAGGGCCTTGGTCAGGGAGGTGACCAAAGACCAGATGATCATTCTGACAGAGCTCTAGAGTACCTCTGTGGAGATTGGAGAACCTTCCAGGATGACAACCGTCTCTGCAGCACTCCACGAATCAGGCCTTTATGGTAGAGTGGCAAGACGGAAGCCACTCCTCAGTAAAAGGCAAATTACAGCCCACTTGGAGTTTGCCAAAAGGCACCTAAAGACGCTCAGACCATGAGAAACAAGATTCTCTGGTCTGATGAAACCAATATAGAACTATTTTCGGCCTGAATGCCAAGCGTCACGTCTGGAAGAAACCTGGCACCATCCCTACGGTGAAGCATGGTTGTGGTAGTGTCATGCTGTGGGGATGTTTTTTCAGCGGCAGGGACTGGGAGACTAGTCAGGATCGAAGGAAAGATGAATGGAGCAAAGTACAGAGAGATCCTTGATGAAAACCTGCTCCAGAGTGCTCAGGACCTCAGACTGGGGCGAAGGTTCACCTTCCAACAGGACAACAATCCTAAGCACACAGCCAAGACAATGCAGGAGTGGCTTCGGGACAAGTGTCTCAATGTCCTTGAGTGGCCCAGCCAGAGCCCGGACTTGAACCCGATCGAATATCTCCGGAGAGACCTTAAAATAGCTGTGCAGCAACACTCCCCATCCAACCTGACAGAGCTTGAGAGGATCTGCAGAGAAGAATGGGAGAAACTCCCCAAATACAGGTGTGCCAAGCTTGTAGCGTCATACCCAAGAAGACTCGAGGCTGTAATCGCTGCCAAAGGTGCTTCAACAAAGTACTGAGTCAAGGGGTCTGAATACTTTCCGAAGGCACTGTACGCTTCATTAAGGTTGGCTTCTTAGCATTCATAGCAATGGTTATCAACTGTACCGCAAAAATGGAACATAAATCACAGAAAATAGATGTTGTGGTGGCAGCTGCAGAGAAGTATTTTAGTATACAAGATTTGACTTCAGGGTGTGTTGAGTGGTGGTGTCCCGTCCTCCCAGGCCGTTGGCATGGTGCAGGAGCAGATAGGGTCAAAGGAGTGGAATGGGGTAGTGGGTTTTTATTCGGTGTAGGGTTAGTTGGAAGGGTGTATTTATTTGTAGATTTTTGTATTATTTTGTTTCACAAAGTATAATGGATTTATATTATAGTCAGTTGGGAGCGGTAATGCAATATATTGGATGACAACCGCCGTTAACGAAGAAGAAGAAGGAGAAGGAGGCCGCCTCACACTCCAGTACAGTAGGTGGCGGTGTATACACATTTAAAGAAGAAGAAGCAGCGTCTCTAACGTTAACTCGTAGCCAAGATCAAATCATAGCAGTCGACATGATGACAAGTTGATTTTGTGACTGGTCCAGGTTTAGTATTTTTACAACATATTTTGTAGTAGCTAGTTAGTAATATATGTTCATGTTGCATCGCTGTCAAGATAAATAGACATGACTGTAGACATGACTTGGCCTTCTAACGTTAGCTAGCTAGCCAGCTAAAGGCAAAAACTGCTAACACAGATAAAATATTTGCTGCTAACGTTAGCTGGGCAAAAAGCTGGGGTAGCCAGCCTGCCAGCGCACCACATTCATTCTTTTTCTCTGCCTTATTTAAGTTAGCAGAGTAATTTGTATATCTAACTAGTTGTAAAAGCTACATTCGTATTTTGTTTGGCCAGTTGTCAGGCAATCTAACGTTATCTAGCAAAAAGTAGACTAAATGCAGCTATATTAGCTAGCTGTAGTAGCTAATGTTGATAATGTCAATAGTTATACTTAGCTAACTTTGGCTAGCTAGATTGCTACTAGCTGCTGGTTAGGTAGGGTCATTTAGGCCAGCCTTAGCATAACGTTTTGGTTGTTGTACATTGCCACTCTGTGGCTCATTAGAGAAAGTAATTGACCGAGTTGATGCAAGTGAAGTGCCTCAACTACACAACTGAAACCATTTAACAACACCGCAACACTGTATTGTGATGAAAAATAGTTTCAGTTTGAGGTCCAACAGAAAAACTGCCAGTCACATGATATGAATGTAACCCTTTACTTTCATTCCTTCCTCCTGACTCAGGTTGCAGATCTAGAGACGTTGGACAGGGAGGAGATGGGTGGATTGTGTAGGCCGCTCCAGGCCTCTGTGGTCTGGCTGACCATTCTCCTTCTGCTGCTGGGAGAGATGGTGAACACAGCCCAGGAGATTGACCCCTACAGAGTTCTGGGGCTCACCAAAAGCGCCAGTCAAGCAGAGGTCAAGAAGGTGTACAAGAGGCTGGTCAGAGAATGGTGAGTCGGAAACACCCTGCTACTTTTTGTCTATCATACTATGAATAGGTTTGGGTAATGTGTTTGTTTCTAGTAATGTCTGTGTCAATAGGCTAAAGGAGAACTTACCAGACCAATTGTCAGTCTGCATAGTAGGGGGCCATTAGTTTGCAATTAGTTCGCTTGCTGTCGGCACAGTGTGTTACAGGGACCACTAAGTAATTTCGGCCAGCAGACGCACGACAATTCCACTGGTCTGTCAGGGCTCTACACTGACATTTTTTACAAGGAGCGCGTGTGCGCATAAGTTGAAAAATGTATGCGCACACAAAGAAATTTAGGAGCACAATGAAAAATATTTAAGGTAATAAAGCTGGATTCCTTAATTTTTCTAGGCGCACTGGTGCTCCTAATTAAAATTCCAGGTCACACAGCAAAATATTTAGATGCCTATGTGAGTAAAATGGTCACACTGTAGAGCCCCCCCAGAAGAAGTTGCTGCCACTATTTCAATGTAATTTCCTGGAAATGCACGTTTAGGTTCCACCTTCGAAGAATGACAAAGGCTACTTATACATATTCATGAATTGGGTGTTGGAATTTCCACGTGGCGTTGATAAACATCAACAAATAGGGGGCACTGACAGCTGTCAGTGTAGCTAGCTAATGTTATTTGTTGTTCCTGTTTTTGTTTTTATACTGCCACCACCATGCTTCACCGTAGGGATGTTATTGGCCAGATGATGAGCGGTGCCTTGTTTCCTCCAGACGTGATGCTTGGCATTCAGGCCAAAGAGTTCAATCTTGATTTCATCAGACCAGAGAATCTATTTTCTCATTGTCTGAGAGTCCTTTAGGTGCCTTTTGGCAAACTCCAAGTGGGCTGTCATGTGCCTTTTACTGAGGAGTGGCTTCCGTCTGGCCACTCTACCATAAAGGCCTGATTGGTGGAGTGCTGCAGAGATGGTTGTCCTTCTGGAAGTTTCTCCCATTACCACAGAGGAACTCTGGAGAGTGACCATAGGGAGCTTGGTCACCTCCCTGATCCCTTTGCAGAAAAACAGCCCCAAAGCATGATGTTTCCACCCCCATGCTTCACAGTAGGTATGGTGTTCTTTGAATGCAACTCAGCATTCTTTGTCCTCCAAACACGACGAGTTGAGTTTTGACCAAAAAGTTATATTTTGGTTTCATCTGACCATATGACATTCTCCCAATCCTCTTCTGGATCATCCAAATGCACTCTAGCAAACTTCAGACGGGCCTGGACATGTACTGGCTTAAGCAGGGGGACACGTCTGGCACTGCAGGATTTGAGTCCCTGGCGGCATAGTGTGTTACTGATGGTAGGCTTTGTTACTTTGGTCCCAGCTCTCTGCAGGTCATTCACTAGGTCCCCCCGTGTGGTTCTGGGATTTTTGCTCACCGTTCTTGTGATCATTTTGACCCCACGGGGTGAGATCTTGCGTGGAGCCCCAGATCGAGGGAGATTATCAGTGGTCTTGTATGTCTTCCATTTCCTAATAATTGCTCCCACAGTTGATTTCTTCAAACCAAGCTGCTTACCTATTGCAGATACAGTCTTCCCAGCCTGGTGCAGGTCTACAATTTTGTTTCTGGTGTCCTTTGACAGCTCTTTGGTCTTGGCCATAGTGGAGTTTGGAGTGTGACTGTTTGAGGTTGTGGACAGGTGTCTTTTATACTGATAACAAGTTCAAACAGGTGCCATTAATACAGGTAACGAGTGGAGAACAGAGGAGCCTCTTAAAGAAGAAGTTACAGGTCTGTGAGAGCCAGAAATCTTGCTTGTTTGTAGGTGACCAAATACTTATTTTCCACCATAATTTGCAAATAAATTCATTAAAAATCCTACAATGGGATTTTCTGGATTTTCTTTTCTCAATTTGTCTGTCATAGTTGACGTGTACCTATGATGAAAATTACAGGCCTCTCTCATCTTTTTAAGTGGGAGAACTTGCACAATTGGTGGCTGACTAAATACTTTTTTCCCCACTGTATATATATATATATATACACACACACACACACAGTGGGGAGAACAAGTATTTGATACACTGCCGATTTTGCAGGTTTTCCTACTTACAAAGCATGTAGAGGTCTGTAATTTTTATCATAGGTACACTTCAACTGTGAGAGACGGAATCTAAAACCAAAATCCAGAAAATCACATTGTATGATTTTTTTATTAATTAATTTGCATTTTATTGCATGACATAAGTATTTGATACATCAGAAAAGCAGAACTTAATATTTGGTACAGAAACCTTTGTTTGCAATTACAGAGATCATAAGTTTCCTGTAGGTCTTGACCAGGTTTGCACACACTGCAGCAGGGATTTTGGCCCACTCCTCCATACAGACCTTCTGCAGATCCTTCAGGTTTCGGGGCTGTCGCTGGGCAATACGGACTTTCAGCTCCCTCCAAAGATTTTCTATTGGGTTCAGGTCTTGAGACTGGCTAGGCCATTCCAGGACCTTGAGATGCTTCTTACGGAGCCACTCCTTAGTTGCCCTGGCTGTGTGTTTCGGGTCGTTGTCATGCTGGAAGACCCAGCCATGACCCATCTTCAATGCTCTTACTGAGGGAAGGAGGTTGTTGGCCAAGATCTCGCGATACATGGCCCCAACCATCCTCCCCTCAATACGGTGCAGTCGTCCTGTCCCCTTTGCAGAAAAGCATCCCCAAAGAATGATGTTTCCACCCACCTCCATGCTTCACGGTTGGGATGGTGTACTTGGGGTAGTACTCATCCTTCTTCTTCCTCCAAACACGGCAAGTGGAGTTAGACCAAAAAGCTATATTTTTGTCTCATCAGACCACATGACCTTCTCCCATTCCTCCTCTGGATCATCCAGATGGTCATTGGCAAACTTCAGACGGGCCTGGACATGCGCTGGCTTGAGCAGGGGGACCTTGCGTGCGTTGCAGGATTTTTAATCCATGACGGCGTAGTGTGTTACTAATGGTTTTCTTTGAGACTGTGGTCCCAGCTCTCTTCAGGTCATTGACCAGGTTCTGCCGTGTAGTTCTGGGCTGATCCCTCACCTTCCTCATGATCATTGATGCCCCACGAGGTGAGATCTTGCATGGAGCCCCAGACCGAGGGTGATTGACCGTCATCTTGAACTTCTTCCATTTTCTAATAATTGAGCCAACAGTTGTTGCCTTCTCACCAAGCTGCTTGCCTATTGTCCTGTAGCCCATCCCAGCCTTGTGCAGGTCTACAATTTTATCCCTGATGTCCTTACACAGCTCTCTGGTCTTGGCCATTGTGGAGAGGTTGGAGTCTGTTTGATTGAGTGTGTGGACAGGTGCAGTTAATACAGGTAATGAGTAGAGAACAGCAGGGCTTCTTAAAGAAAAACTAACAGGTCTGTGAGAGCCGGAATTCTTACTGGTTGGTAGGTGATCAAATACTTATGTCATGCAATAAAATGCAAATTAATTACTTAAAAATCATCCAATGTGATTTTCTGGATTTTTGTTTTAGATTTCGTCTCTCACAGTTGAAGTGTACCTATGATAAAAATTACAGACCTCTACATGCTTTGTAAGTAGGAAAACTTGTAAAATCGGCAGTGTATCAAATACTTGTTCTCCCCACTGTATATAGCTCAAACATAAGTGAACGTTTAAAAAAATTATCCAATGGGTGCAACGCTGTTTGGCTCATCTGTTGCTAAGAGGAATAACTTTGCAACTGTTTCTGATTAATAAACAATGCCATGCTGGTGGGTGGTAACATTAAACTAAATCCCAGCCCTGAAATGAAACGTAGGCTGGAAAATATGTACAGTACCAGTCAAAGGTTTGGACACAACTACTCATTCCAGGGTTTTTATTTTTACTATTTTCTACATTGTAGAATAATAGTGAAGACATCAAAACTATGGAATCATGTAGTAACCAAAACAGTGTTAAACAAATTAATATATATTTTACATTTTGAGATTCTTCAAATAGCCACCCTTTGCCTTGATGACAGCTTTGCACACTCTTGGCATTAGTGTATGTCATATCATAGGAAAAGGCACCGCATTCACACGGATTTGCAAGCCCAAAATTATCATACTTTGACTAAAACAATGACTTATTGACTTAAATTGCTGTTCAACATCATGGGTAAGCGCTGGCTGTCTTTTTTCTGCTCGAAAAAGTGGATTTCTACTGGTGTGGGTGTTTTATGTGTCCCTCTGCTATAAGTTTCCCTTTGCTCTGTATTCAAGGCACCCAGACAAGAACAATGATCCTGGGGCTGAGGATATGTTCATCAAGATCACTAAATCTTATGAGGTAAACTAGTTTCACATACCAGACACACATGCAGACAAAAACAGAATTTTTCAGATTTAGGTTTATGCAACTAACATGGCTACATTGCATGCACTGGGTGTGTGCACTACATGTTTTGACACAGCACAGATCTAACATCTTTCTCAACTAATCAAGAGCTTGATGATTCTGGTGCTGAAGTGTTGTGTAAATGCTGGGCTTGTACAAAAGCCTGCACATCCTGACACTGTGGGTCTCCAAGGATCTGAATTGTAGAACACGGCTCTATTTAAACTCTACAGTCAGGAGGAGGAGAGGAGTTCATAATAAAGTTTGATTTGATCCCTCCTCAGGTCCTGGGGAATGTGGAGCGGCGTGCTAACTATGACCGCTACGGTCAGATGGAGAACAAGCAGGGTCAGCACCAGCAGGGCTTCAACCGACAATTCCACAACAGCTTCTACTTCGATGAGTCATTCTTCCATTTCCCTAGGTCAGTGCAAAGGAAAAAATACCACGCAATTTTTGCAACTAATTTGCCAATCACGTCATGTTGTCTTGTATCCCTTGCAATGACTGTGATATGTGGTTGTTTTACCTACCTTAATTGCACTGTCACTCTGGATAAGAGCATCTGCTAAATGTAAATGTATTCCTACTTTGATTGGTCCCTGAGGCCATTTTGAAAGATACAGTATCAAAGCCTCCTTTATTTTTCTGTCTGGAAAACCCAGACGAAGGCTACACGCAAAAACACATTGGGTGTAGTAGTAAAGAAGCGTCTTTAATCAACTTCCATTGTCCTCCAAGAGTGGCTAAATATTCTCTTCCCCAGGTCAGGCCGGGACTTCTCAGACAACAAGTACCTGCTCCACCACGCAGGGTACAACAGTGAGGTGCTGCCCGACAGCTTCAAGCGGCCCTACCTGATCAAGATCACCTCAGAGTGGTGCTTCGCCTGCGTTCACATCGAGCCAGTCTGGAGGGAGACAGTACAGGAGCTAGAGCCACTGGGTACGAAGTCGGTTGACTTCCAGGATGTCCATGGCTGTGTCCCAAATGGCACCCTATTCCCTGCACTACTTTTGACCAGGGACAATAGGGCTATGGTCATAAGTAGTGGACTCTGTAGGAAAAAAGGGTGCCATTTGGGATGCAAGAACATGTCTTTCACTAAGAATCCGTTGGGGTCGAAACCTCATTTAAGGTCATTAAATTCATTCACTGATGTGTGGTTTGTAACATAGGTGGAGAAACTAACCATTGACAAGAGAACAACAGGGGAAATCGGCTCAAAGCTATTAGTCAGTGATTACTCAAATGAATCAAAACATACAGTACATTGTAATCTGTAAAATACAACTTTCTCTTTTCTTCCCTCTACTGTCCACTGGTATGTAACAACCTAATGAATGGTCCCCATCACTCAGGTGTGGGTATCGGCATTGTTGACATTGGTGATGAGCGTCGCCTAGCCAACCAGCTGGGTGTCCATCGCACGCCATCCATCCTGGGTGTGGTCAACGGTAGAGTGACCGTATTCCACTACTCCGTGGTCAGAGAACACCTGCGACAGTTTGTAGAAGACCTGCTGCCTCAGAGGCTGGTGGAAAAGGTAGACCTGCTGTTAATAATATTGCAATGTTTCCAGTATGATTTATAGTAATAATAATGGGTGCTAGCAAGCATACTAGGTAGTGCTAGGTATCAACTGCCAATCCAGTAGGGGCTGAAGCTATAGTGAGCTTCGATTGGTCAATCTTGACACGATATCGCTGAGAATTCAGCTTTCCCCAACTTAGGTCCCGCCCTATTCGCACTCCCTCGCCCATGTTTGCATCGCCCAACGGTCCCCTGCCCATTTCGCTTCCCTCCATTGAAAATGAATGGCTTCCGATTTTTTTATCGCCCCCCCCCCTATCGTGTTCAGTTAATCAGGACCATTATAGTAAATAGTCAGAGAAACACCTCAGACAGTTTGTAGAGGACCTGCTGCCTCAGAGGCGAACATGGGTCCAAAATAATAACTTAAAGGGCAACTCTGCCACTTTTCAACCTCATTCATTATCTTCAGCACCAAACCACTGTCTATGTATATGTTTCTAGGATCTGTGGTTAAAAGATAAGGGCCTAAAAAATGCTTCTCTGTCACATCACAGCTTAGGGTTAAAAGTAAGAAAAAACTATATTTTCTGAACCTGCAATGAGTTTTCTAGCCAGAGGGAGGGTATTTTCTTGCTCCCCACGTCACCGCGAATCTCATAGTGTTTGAAAAGTACTTTTTTCATGTAACTTTTGATGATGTCATTGGATATAACTTTTTAATGTTATATTTCTTTCTACAAAACGTATATATGCTCCATTTTCACATATGTAGACAGTGGTTTGGTGCTGGAGATAATGAATATGAGGTTGAAAAGTGGCGGAGTTGCCCTTTAATAAGCTACAGTGCTTTTCATTCCAGAGTGATGCGAAGGAATATGCGAATACATAAAATCAAATCAAATTTTATAGGCCACATGCGCCGAATACAACAGGTGCAGACATTACAGTGAAATGCTTACTTACAGCCTTTAACCAACAGTGTGTTTTTATTTTTTATAAAAAAGTAAAATAAAACAACAAAAAAGTGTTGAGAAAAAAAGAGCAGAAAAATAAAATAACAGTAGGGAGGCTGTATATACAGGGGGGTACCGGTGCAGAGTCAATGTGCGGGGGCACCGGCTAGTTGAGGTAGTTGAAGTAATATGTACATGTGGGTAGAGTTAAAGTGACTATGCATAAATAATTAACAGAGTAGCAGCAGCGTAAAAAGATGGGGTGGGTGTGGGGGGGCAGTGCAAATAGTCCGGGTAGCCATGATAAGCTGTTCAGGAGTCTTATGGCTTGGGGGTAGAAGCTGTTGAGAAGTCTTTTGGACCTAGACTTGGCACTCCGGTACCGCTTGCCGTGCGGTAGCAGAGAGAACAGTCTATGACTAGGGTCGCTGGAGTATTTGACAATTTTGAGGGCCTTCCTCTGACACCGCCTGGTATAGAGGTCCTGGATGGCAGGAAGCTTGGCCCCAGTGATGTACTGGGCCGTACGCACTACCCTCTGTAGTGCCTTGCGGTCGGAGGCCAAGCAGTTGCCATACCAGGCGGTGATGCAACCAGTCAGGATGCTCTCGATGGTGCAGCTGTAGAATTCTTTGAGGATCTGAGGACCCATGCCAAATCTTTTCAGTCTCCTGAGGGGAAATAGGCTTTGTCGTGCCCGCTTCACGACTGTCTTGGTATGTTTGTACCATGATAGTTCGGAACTTGAAGCTCTCAACCTGTTCCACTACAACCCCGTCGATGAGAATGGGGGTGTGCTCTGTCCTCTTTTTCCTGTAGTCCACAATCATCTACTTTGTCTTGGTCACGTTGAGGGAGAGGTTGTTATCCTGGCACCACACGGCCAGGTCTCTGACCTCCCTATAGGCTGTCTCATCATTGTCGGTGATCAGGCCTACCACTGTTGTGTCGACGGCAAACTTAATGATGGTGTTGGAGTCGTGCCTGGGCATGCAGTCATGGGTGAACAGGGAGTACAGGAGGGGACTGAGCATGCACCCCTGAGGGGCCCCCGTGTTTAGGATCAGTGTGGCAGATGTGTTGTTACCTACCCTTACCACCTGGGGGCGGCTCGTCAGGAAGTCCAGGATCCAGTTGCAGAGGGAGATGTTTAGTCCCAGGATCCCTAGCTTAGTGATGAGCTTTGAGGGCACTATGGTGTTGAATGCTGAGCTGTAGTCCATGAATAGCATTCTCACGTAGGTGTTCCTCTTGTCCAGGTGGGAAAGGGCAGTGTGGAGTGCAATAGAGATTGCATCATCTGTGGATCTGTTGGGGCAGTATGCAAATTGGAGTGGGTCTAGGGTTTCTGGGATAATGGTGTTGATGTGAGCCATGACCAGCCTTTCAAAGCACTTCATGGCTGCAGACGTCAGTGCTACGGGTCGGTAGTCATTTAGGCAGGTTATCTTAGTGTCCTTGGGCACGGGGACTATGGTGGTCTGCTTGAAACATGTTGGTATTACAGACTCAGTCAGGGACATGTTGAAAATGTCAGTGAAGACACTTGCCAGTTGGTCAGCACATGCTCGGAGTACACGTCCTGGTAATCCGTCTGGCCCTGCGGCCTTGTGAATGTTGACCTGCTTAAAAGTCTTACATCGGCTACGGAGAGCGTGATCACATAGTCATCCGGAACAGCTGGTGCTCTCATGCCTGCTTCAGTGTTGCTTGCCTCGAAGCGAGCATAGAAGTGGTTTAGCTCGTCTGGAAGTCTTGTTTCACTGGGCAGCTCGCGGCTGTGCTTCCCTTTGTAGTCCGTAATAGTTTTCAAGCCCTGCCACATCCGACGAGCATCAGAGCCGGTGTAGTACGATTCAATCTTAGTCCTGTATTGACTCTTTGCCTGTTTGATGGTTCGTCGGAGGGCATAGCGGGATTTCTTATAAGCGTCCGGGTTAGAGCCCCGCCCCTTGAAAGCGGCTGCTCTACCCTTTAGCTCAGTGCGGATGTTTCCTGTAATCCATGGCTTCTGGTTGGGGTATGTACGTACGGTCACTGTGGGGACGACATCATCGATGCACTTATTGATGAAGCCAGTGACTGATGTGGTGTACTCTTCAATGCTATCTGAAGAATCCCTGAATACTTCATTCATATATTGTGTATAATTGCTACAATTACTCAATATCTGTAATACGTATTGTAGGTTTCCACTTTTGCACTGCATGTGATAACATATACAGTGCATTCGGAAAGTATTCAGATGCCTTGACTTTTTCCACAATTTGTTACGTTACAGCCTTATTCTATCCCATAATGATAAAGCAAAAACAGGTTTTTAGACATTTTTGCAAATGTATTAAACATTTAAAACTGAAATATCACATTTACGTAAGTATTCAGACCCTTTACTCAGTACTTTGTTGAAGCACCTTTGGCAGCAATTACAGCCTTGAGTCTTCTTGGGTATGACGCTACAAGCTTGGCACACCTGTATTTGGGGAGTTTCTCCCATTTTCTCTGCAGATCCTCTCAAGCTCTGTCAGGTTGGATGGGGAGCGTCGCTGCACAGCTATTTTCAGTTCTCTCCAGAGATGTTCGATCAGGTTCAAGTCCGGGCTCTGGAACATTGAGAGACTTGTCCCGAAGCTACTCCTGCATTGTCTTGGTTGTGTGCTTAGTTGTCCTGTTGGAAGGTGAACCTTCGCCCCAATCTGAGGTCCTGAGCGCTCTGGAGCAGGTTTTCATTAAGGATCTCTGTACTTTGCTCCATTCATCTTTCCCTCGATTCTGACTAGTCTCCCAGTCCCTGCCGCTGAAAAACATCTCCACAGCATGATGCTGCCACCACCATGCTTCACCGTAGGGATGGTGCCAGGTTCCCTCCAGACGTGATGCTTGGCATTCAGGCCAAAGAGTTCAATCTTGTTTTCATTAGACAAGATAATCTTGTTTCTTATGGTCTGAGAGTCTTTAGGTGCCTTTTGGCAAACTCCAAGAGGGCTGTCATGTTCCTTTTACGGAGGAGTGGCTTCCGTCTGGCCACTCTACCATAAAGGCCTGATTGGTGGAGTGCTGCAGAGATGGTTGTCCTTCTGGAAAGTTCTCCGATCACAACAAAGGAACTCTGGAGTTCTGTCAGAGTGACCACCGGGTTCTTGGTCACCTCCCTGACCAAGGCCCTTCTCCCCCGATTGCTCAGTTTAGTCTGGCGGCCAGCTCTAGGAAGAGTCTTGGTGGTTCCAAACTTCTTCCATTTTAAGATTTATGGAGGCCACTGTGTTCTTGGGGACCTTCAATGCTGCAGACATTTTTTTTTGTACCCTTTCCCAGATCTGTGCCTGGACACAATCCTGTCTCGGAGCTCTACGGATAATTCCTTCGACCTCATGGCTTGGTTTTTGCTCTGGCATGCACTGCCAACTTTGGGAGCTTATATAGACAGGTGTGTGCCTTTTGCAAATCATGTCCAATCAATTGAATTTACCACAGGTGGACTTCAATCATGTTTTAGAAACCTCTCAAGGATGATCAATGGAAACAGGATGCACCTGCGCTCAAGTTGGAGTCTCATAGCAAAGGGTCTGAATAAGGTATTTCAGTTTTTTGTGCCAAAAAAATCTAAACCGGTTTTCGCTTTGTCGTTATGGGGTATTGTGTGTAGATTAATGATAATTGTTATTTATTTAATCAATTTTAGAATAAGGCTGTAACGTAACAAAATGTGGAAAAAGTAAGGGGTCTGAATACTTTCCGAAGGCATTGTTTGAATATATAAAGCATGTTAATCTCTCCTGAACTTGATCAGTTGTTCAAATGATCTTGTTTTATTTTCTTTGTTAGGTAACAGATAAGAACTATGAGTCCTTCCTGGGCAGCTGGCATGTAGAGAACAATCCCAGTTTGTTGCTGTTTGACCAAGTGCCTACAGTGCCCCTGCTCTACAAGGTAACACACACACTGAGTGTGTCTGTGGAAAATGGCTATCTATCTAGTCATCAGTCTAACAGCTTACCCTTCTCTCTCCAGCTCACAGCGTTTGCCTTTAAGGACTATGTGCGGTTTGGTTACGTGGACCAGGGACTGACCGAGACATCCAGACTACTGCATCAGTTCAACATCAACAGCTACGCTCCCACAATGCTGCTGTTCAAGGAGAACACTGAGAAACCTGCTGATATTATACAGGTAAACTCATGGACCAGTATTAAAATAGTTGCATGCACTGGATCTGGATGATTTATTCTGTTTTGGTGTCAGAGATGAATGGGTCACAACCACAAGACTGCCAGTTGAATACCTGATCATTGTTCTCGCTCTTTCTCTCTCCCCCCCCCCCCCCCCCCCCCCCCAGGCTAAAGGGATGAAGAGACAGATCATGGAAGAGTTTGTTTCCAACAACAAGTACCTGTGTGTGCCTCGGTTGGTCAACCAGCGTCTGTTCGATGAGCTCTGCCCCATCAAGCAGTTCCACCGACGCAGGAAGTAAGAACCAACTAAATGTTGTTAAAGGTTAAATGCAGCCGTTTCTATCTCAATATCAAATCATTTATGGGTAATAATTAAGTACCTTAATGTGATTTCAATTGAAATGGTCAAAAATTAACAAAAATAGCTTTTTAGGAAAGAGAAATTTCTCAATCAATAATTTTGCGAGGTCTATCTGGGAGTGGTCTGAGTGGGGAGGGGGGAACTGAAAACTAGCTGTTATTGGCAGAGATGTTTGGAACTCTCTTTCTTATTGGTCTATTAACTAATTTACCGCCTAGTGATGTCACCAGGCAGGCCAAAACTCCATCCCTTCAAAACAGGGATTTCAGGCGGTCTTTTCAAACAGCTCTTACACTGAAAGGGCATAATCATCATTTTTCCAATTTCACAGTATTATTCCAACCTCATAATGTGGAAATATACACAGTGGCCAGTTTATTAGGTTCACGAAAATTGTTCGCTCCTAGAAACAGTGAGTCTCATGGCCGTGGCTTGCTATATAAAGCAGGCAGACGGGCATCGAGGCATTCAGTTACTGTTCGATTGATCGTTAGAATGGGCAAAACAAGTGACCTAAGCGACTTTGAGCGTGGTATGATCGTCGGTGCCAGGCGCGCCGGTTGTAGTATCTCAGAAACGGCCAGCCTCCTGGGTGTTTAATGCACAACAGTGTCTAGGGTTTACTGAGAATGGTGCGACAAACAAAAATCATCCAGTCAGCGGCAGTCCTGTGGGCGAAAATCCGGTTGTTGATGAGGGGTGGAAGAATGGCAAGAATCATGCAAGCTAACAGGCGGGCCACAAACAGGCAAATAACTGCGCAGTACAACAGTGATGTGCAGAACGGCATTTCGGAACGCACAACTCGTCGGTCCTTGTCAGGGATGAGCTATTGCAGGACACGACCACACCGGGTTCCACTCCTATCAGCTAAAATCAAGAAGAAGCGGCTCCAGTGGGCACGCGATTACCAACACTGGACAACTGAGGAGTGGAAAAACATTGCCTGGTTTGACAAATCCCGGTTCCTGTCGCGTCATGCTGATGGCAGAGTCAGGATTTGGTGTAAGCAGCATGAGTCCATGGCCCCATCCTGCCTGGTGTCAATGGTGTAATGGTGTGGGGAATGTTTTTGTGGCACATGTTCGGTCCCTTGATCACAATCGAGCAACGTTTGAACGCCACACCTTGTAGAATCCATGCCCTGACGAATTCAGGCTGTTCTGGAGGCAAAGAGAGGTCCGACCCGGTACTAGATGGGTATACCTAATAAATTGGCGGCTGATTATATAAAACACAAGAAAATCACGTTTATGACTGCACTGGGCTTTAATATCCACACTAGTACCACTTAGAATGAACTCATGTTTTGGGCATGTGTTCTAAGTGGTATGCTAATGTGGGCAGCGCTCCAGTCTTCCCAGCCTCTGTCCTAGGTCATTTTTATTGCAGTCTCACTGTGCACTGCACATATCAGAAGATTTCTACATAACTTTTATGTGGTTCCTGAGTTGTTAAACACTTGTCTACGTGTTATGAGATCTGATCATCTTTGCAGTGTGACTGCAATAAAGACTCGTATATACTGTATGTCTGCGTCAGGATAATCCTAAAAAGGAAGTATTGTATTGGTATGCATTCTGAGTTCTAAGTGGTATGCTAGTGTGGTTATTGGAACAAAGCCCTAGGATAAAGCAGAAAGACACGTTTCTGATCTTTAAGGACAATAAAGTAATAATCATCTCTCTCTCTCTCTCTTCTCTCTCTCTCTCTCTCTCTCTCTCTCTCTCTCTCTCTCTCTCTCTCTCTCTCTCTCTCCTCTCTCTCTCTCTCTCCTCTCTCTCTCTCTCTCTCTCTCCTCTCTCTCTCTCTCCTCTCCTCTCTCTCTCTCTCTCTCTCTCTCTCTCTCTCTCTCTCTCTCTCTCTCTCTCTCTCTCTCTCTCTCGTCTCTCTCTCTCTCTCTCTCTCTCTCTCTCTCTCTCTCAGGTACTGTGTGCTGCTGATCACTGGTGAGGAGCCAGGGTTTGTCCCTGGTAACCAGGCCTTCCTGACCTTCGCCTCGTCCAACACTAAAGACGTGCTGCGCTTCACATATGTCTACCAGAGACAGCAACAACCACTGTGTCAGGCACTGCTCCACAACCAGGCCCCACTGTTCGCACAGGTTAGTAACAAACACATACAATACACACACACACACACACAAACGGGCAATAAGGTATATTGTATCGTACAGTACACACACATTATGCGCTCATGTGTTTGATTGCACCATGATAGGTGGTGATACTGGAGAGGCGGAGCCCTGGAGGTAAGGTAGTGTATCGGTCTGTGATTGGTGGATGGAACGGCAGTGACGATGATAAGACCCGCCTCCACGAGCAGCTGGAGCTCCTGCAGAGAGACCCCTCCTACCTGAGCTATGACGCCACGCTACCTGAACTAAACAACGAATTGGCCCCCGTGAGTCACACACTCACTCACTCACACACCTGGTACACACACACCTATCTACCTGAGCTACAGGTAACTGCTAAAATAAAGGAAACACCAACATAAAGTGTCTTAATAGGGCGTTGGGCCACCGTGAGCCAGAACAGCTTCAATGCACCTTGGCATAGATGCTACAAGTGTCTGAAACTTTATTGGAGGGATGCGACACCCATTCTTCCACGAGAAATTCCATAATTTGGTGTTTTTGTTGATTAAGGTAGAAAACGCTATCTCAGGCGCCTCTCCAGAATGTCCCATAAGTGTTCAATTGGGTTGAGATATGGTGACTGAGATGGCCATGGCATATGGTTTACATCGTTTTCATGCTCATCAAACCATTCAGTGACCTCGTGCCCTGTGGATGGGGGACATTGTCATCCTATGGGGGCATAGCCATGGTAGGCAAAATAATGGCCTGCCCAGCATTTTTATACATGACCCTAATAATGATGGATGTTAATTGCTTAATTAACTCAGGAACCACACCTGTGTCGAAGCACCTGCTTTCAATATACTGTATACCTCATTTACTCAAGTATTTTCATTATTTTGGCAGTTACCTGTATGATGCTACACTACATGAACTAAACAACGAACTGTCCCCCGTGAGTCACAGACACATACACATCTGGTGAACACACACCTACCTCTCTGAGCTATGACAGCACTACCTGAACTAAACATCAATTTCTCTCTTCTTCCCCAACTCTAGATGTTTCTGATTCAGTGGATGAATGCAGCTTATGATTACTTCCTTCAAATCTATGACGACCTTCTCTTCTCCAACTGGTAAGATAATGCCGTATTTTATCCGTTTTCAATTGGGATAGGTCAGCGGTTCCCAAAACTAGGGGTTGTGACCCCATGTGGGGTCGCCTGATATGAAAATGGGGTCACGGGAGAATTTCCAAAAGCCTGGTGGAATTTAATTTTTTGTAAATAACATAATATCGTCTATGTATCTCAATCATTGTAATGTGGTTAACCTTAGAAATCCAAATTAAAATGATTAAAATCTAAAAGATATAATTCAACCAATGAATTAGATTGTGGGAAAAGGCGGCACTTGACCGTTGCACATGAATCATCCCCACAGTGAATGGCTAGGCTACGCTGCTGCAAAATTGACTTTTCTTAGACCACCATCCTCATTTAGTTCGGTGGCTACTACATTAAGTGAAGCTGAGGCAACTCACCAGCAAAAAAAGCAGAAATCGTGCTAGAAAATACGACTAAACCTACCTCACTAGCATAATTGAAAAAAGTTAGGAAAAGCCAAAATGCCTCGTGTGGAAATGTCCTCTCACGGGAAAGCATGCAGCCCAACAAGCTTAAACGGCACCTTGACACCACGCACAAGGAACATGCCAACAAATCCAAGGCTTTTTTTCGAAAGAAGGCTATTTGAACTAAATAAGCAACATGTACAATTCATGACTGTCTGAGAGAGCCCAGAAAGCATCATTTGAGGTTAGCTATCGCATTGCACAGGCAATGAAACAACACACTATTGAAGAGATTTTGATATTACCGGACACAATTGAGATGGTGAAAACAATGTGTGGGGATGCACAGAAACTCATATCAATACCTTTGTCAGATAACACTAAAACAAAGAATTGAAGCTTTTGCTAGCAATCAACAGGAAACTCTGACTGAACAACTCAAACTCCCCAGCTTATGCTCTCCAAATGCACGTTAGCTGTGAGCGCCGAGATGCCCATGCATTGACATTTGTTGGCTACTTGTCGGGGGATGCAATTCACGAGGACGTATGGTTCTGTCTCATGATTCCCAATCATCAAGCTGCACAGGGGATGTTCAGTGTGCTGCATGGCTAAATTGACGAAAAACATCTATGGCGGGACAGTGGGCAGGACTCTGCACTCTAGTGATGAATGTGTCTCCCTCTGCCATATGGGAAGCATTGTATGATACACCGAGAGCAGCTGGCGGCAAAAGAGCTGAGCGCAGAAGTCGGAGATATACTGCAGCAGGTAACTTCGATTGTAAACTATATCAAACCACACCATTGCAAAACTGTGTGGAGACATGGGATCAGAGCATGACAATGAGCTATTTCACACCGAGGCTCGGTGGTTATCGAGGGGAAGAGTTTTGGAAATATTTTTCGAATTGGGTGCGGAACTGTTGTCATTCAAAATGGATGCAAAAAAAGTACAAAAATACTTGATTTTCTATGCGATTTCCTTGCCTATGTAACAGACCGAAAACTGAAACTGATCGCTAACATGCAGGGGAAATACAAAAACATTCTACAGATGAGTGACCGAATCAGTGGATTCAGAAGAAAGATTTCTAATTGGCTAGAGTCTTTCAAAAGTGAACCATGCCATCTTCCCTCGGCTGTGCAATTTTCTAACAGACATCAGCATCAGCGAGTGTCCCACACGAGTGATGACTGCTCACTTCCAACACTTGGAAGAGCACTTTGGGACCTACTTTCCCAGACTTGGACATGGCAAAGTTTGATTGGTTTGCGAAATCCGTTTGACTGTGATCCTGGCTCAGTTGACATGCCGGCAAGTAAAATCGAACTGCTGAACAAGATGTCATGTGACCGAATGCTGCAGACTATGCATTCATGGGTCACTACGGAGGAGTTTTGGTTCCTGACGCAAAAGGGAATACCCTGCCGTCTCCCTCCGAGCATTAAACTCATGGTACCTTCGCCAGCTCATATATGTGAAGCTGGACTCAGTGTTCTCATCTGCATTAAAACCAAATATTGATCCAGGTTGGATGTGACCGCAGAGATGAGGTGCCGACCACTCCCCTGACTTTGAGAATCTCTGACACTACATGCATCAAGCACACCTATCTCATTAGTGGTGGTGAGATAAGAGACAATCAGAAATTAAAAACTAATTTGTAATTGACTGTCATAGCTAGGTCTGTTGTGGTGACCATATTACCGCCACACCAGCAGTCATGAGTCATGACTGCAGTAAAATTCCACGTGACCGTTGAGTCACGGTAATATTTTCTACTGAGGACATGCGTTGGTAGTACCCTAAAGTCGCTAATGACTTGGTACTCAGGGTTCAATTGTCCCTCTAACATAAATGCAATCGAAAATCACATCAAACACTTATCATCAGAAGTTCAAAAGCAGGTTGAAACAGTGTTAAACATGATCGTTGCAGATGTTTCAAAGCCTAACACAACTAAATGGATAACGCTGTCTAAGGTGATGATTAATTCAAAACACCCATACTTATGAGCCCAAGCCTGAAAAAAAAAAAAAAACTGAATTAAAATTATGATTGTGATCAGGCCCAGCGCCAGGGTACAAAGGGGGCAATGCCCCCTTAGTTGGAATATTGTGCCCCCTCAGTTTTGTATCCCTATTCTATCCCACAATCTGCCCCCTCCGTCATGCCCAACCGATTTGTTGTGTATGCTTCATTCATGCAACTCCCTTGCATGCATCATACGCCACAGAGGCCAAAGCCGCTGGGCCGACGCTAATCACAGAGGCCAAGGCCGCCGAGCCCAGCAGCAAAGGCACCTGCGCAACCATCTTGCGGCCTGGTGACATAGGAGGTAACCAACCCGAGGAGGGACCTGCAGCCGCCAAGACCGAACCTAGCAGCAGCACCACCAGTATATTACAAGTGCCGACGCCTCCGTTAGTGCCGACGACCTCGGTGATAAGGAGCCAGCGCAGGTTTGTCTGGGGAAATACCCAACCCGCCTGTACTGTGGGAGGAAACGGGCATTTTGTAGCACGTGGTTCAAAGGCAGAGAGTGACTGGAGTATTCCTGCCAGGCAGATGCAGTTTGATGAGTTATGGGAGAAATACAAGCACACGGACACCCCCGCTCAAGCAAACGGCAAAAGAGTAGTGAGTAGTAATCTGAACAACAATGGGCCAGCAAGAAGAGGATAATGAGAGGGAGTGCCAAATACTGTTTTTCAGCACTCTGGATTCTGTACTGGGAGAAATGTCAGCAAGATTTAACGAACGAAACAGACAACTTGTTAAGGCCCTGTGTGCCTTGCACCCAGAGAATGAAACTGAGTTTACTGTCGCACGCCAGTTTCTACAGACTGAAATCGCCCGATCTGGAGAAGAAAAATGGACAACGCAGAGCATTTTGGATAGATACTAACAGCAATGTCTACTGTGATGATGGCATTGAAGCTGGGATTAACATTTGGAGCATCCACAGCAATTTGTAAGAACGCTTTTTCAACATTGAAAAACGTATTCAGTGAGCACAGGCGGAGCATGTTGCACAGGAGGAAAGCGCAGCTGATTCAACTGGCATTTGAGAGGGATTTTACAAGCAAATTCCGTGGGGAGTGGAACGAGAGACTGCTGAGGAGGTTCAACACAGCATCAAGGTGGCTGCAACTCTTTTGAATCTTGGTAAGAACAGGCAGCCTGGCTGGGCTTGTATTATTTTGTTATTTGCTAGCTTTTGGAAATGCGTGGCAAATGTCAGAAATAGGCGTAGACGTGATTTTCTTTATTGGCGTTGCTGCCAAGTCTACTGCTTGATTTCTATGATTGGATTGGAAATGTTTGGTTTATATTATAATCGGATTGTTTTTAATGTTTTCTATGGTAGAAGGTGCTTTGCATTACATTGATGAGGGTGGGCAGACCTTGACCAATGGTTGAGTAACGATGTAACTATAGTGTTGTCATAAACAACTCGTTGCTATGGAATACAAATGTATCTGTTATCGTACGCAGCGTAGTACCGCACTCTTGTGGGAAGAGAGCTTGCGTCCAAGCTGCATTGTACCGATAAGTCGTGGTAGTGCATTGTACATTATTGTTTGCTTTCCGCGATTGGAATTGTATTGGTATGGTAAAGTGTTATTACGGTAATTAGCAACTGTTTTGCATTGGATTGATGGGTATTGTGCATGTAGCTTTGTAGCGTTGTCATAACTTGCAATTTCTCGAGCCGGTTATGAATTGTCCATGTTTGTAAAGCGATGCAGTACAGTAGCCTGTATTCTTGCGGCAAGACAGCCGTGGGTGGCTGCAAATACATTGTGTGTAATTGTACTATCGATTATTAACCATCCTGTGTTATCAGCAAGGGAAATTGTTGTGCCCCTTAGTCATTTCTGATGCCCCCTTGCCAAGTTAATCCTGCCGCCGGGCCTGATTGTGCTGTTATACATAGCCTACCACATATTACGCAGAGCAGAAAAACATACAGCAAAACTGATTTTAAGATTGGTACATACAGTGGGGAGAACAAGTATTTGATACACTGCCGATTTTGCAGGTTTTCCTACTTACAAAGCATGTAGAGGTCTGTAATTTTTATCATATGTACACTTCAACTGTGAGAGACGGAATCTAAAACAAAAATCCAGAAAATCACATTGTATGATTTTTAAGTAATTAATTTGCATTTTATTGCATGACATAAGTATTTGATCACCTACCAACCAGTAAGAATTCCGGCTCTCACAGACCTGTTAGTTTTTCTTTAAGAAGCCCTCCTGTTCTCCACTCATTACCTGTATTAACTGCACCTGTTTGAACTCGTTACCTGTATAAAAGACACCTGTCCACACACTCAATCAAACAGACTCCAACCTCTCCACAATGGCCAAGACCAGAGAGCTGTATAAGGACATCAGGGATAAAATTGTAGACCTGCACAAGGCTGGGATGGGCTACAGGACAATAGGCAAGCAGCTTGGTGAGAAGGCAACAACTGTTGGCGCAATTATTAGAAAATGGAAGAAGTTCAAGATGACGGTCAATCACCCTCGGTCTGGGGCTCCATGCAAGATCTCACCTCGTGGGGCATCAATGATCATGAGGAAGGTGAGGGATCAGCCCAGAACTACACGGCAGGACCTGGTCAATGACCTGAAGAGAGCTGGGACCACAGTCTCAAAGAAAACCATTAGTAACACACTACGCCGTCATGGCTTAAAATCCTGCAGCGCACGCAAGGTCCCACTGCTCAAGCCAGCGCATGTCCAGGCCCGTCTGACGTTTGCCAATGACCATCTGGAGGATCCAGAGGAGGAATGGGAGAAGGTCATGTGGTCTGATGAGACAAAAATAGAGTGTTTTGGTCTAAACTCCACTCGCCGTGTTTGGAGGAAGAAGAAGGATGAGTACAACCCCAAGAACACCATCCCAACCATGAAGCATGGAGGTGGAAACATCATTC